ATTTGCCTATAAATAGTCAAAGAAACGCCCATTCATTCATTCATTTTGACTGTCTGCATGAAGAAGATCGCAGGAAATGACGACAGAACAGCTAAAAAAGACATCTCACACCGTGTCAGATTTTGGTTATTTTGGGGAGGTCGAGATAAATCATATTGTTTGGTGGATGCAGTTTGAACCAGATTAGCAGCATGGAGGTCGGATCGTCACCAAAATAAAGAAATAAGTGGTCCGAAAAAAGTTAATGACAAAACAAATACACATAACCTTCCTCAGGCAGTGTGTTTGTCCCGGGGACAGGAGACCCCCCCTTGATGAGAAACTGTAAGAAATGATGGGGGAATCCCTCCGGAGTGGAGTCATGACGACTGGATCTGAATTATTGTGTTGTATTTAGTGGTTTGTGTTCCAGCTGTCGATCAGCAACTATATATCCATAATCCACCAGTTAAAGGAAATACAACTAATGTGTTGTGTTGTATTAGCTGTACAATTTACCACATATGGTGTTCTTAGTTTCCATACCTCCTGTGTTTTACGAGCGACTTATCAAGTAGGCTATTGGCGAACGGCATAAAACATGATTAATGTTTAATCCATAGCTGCTGCTCCGCTTCACAGGTTGCAAATCTTCTGACACTAAAATAAATCAGAACATTCACAACATATTTCATGAATACTTGAGGAAGCATTGGTTGTTCTTTTTAAATGACTTATGTTGTGTAATATATCACAATAAACAGCAGATTCACAGAAATGTGCTTGGAGAGGCGGGCCTGGCGCCACGAGGGGGCAAAAGGGGGCATTGCCCCCTCAATTGTATTCTTTGCCCCCTCACCCGCATCATTCATCCATCAAAAAGTACAATCAATTTCACAATTATTAAATAATAACTGTTAGTCTGTTAACCAAAGTGCACCCATCTAATAATGTAATATCTATTATTAAAGATCAGAGGAAAAGAACAGAACGAGAGGGGTAAATCCGGAATACAAATAAAGAAGCAAAGAGATTGTAGAGCAGTGAGAAGGAAAAAAGCTTGGTGTGTCAATTAATTACATTGCCAGTATTTTTCGTTGTTGTGAAAAAAGAAATCGCCCCCTCGGATTTTTTTACAGCCCCCTCACTCATTTCATCCTGGAGCCGGGCCTGTGGAGAGGTTTGATGTTGTTATGTTTGCAGCAGTGCACCTTACCGTCACATTCCTGTCCTTTCTTCTGACACATTTAAAATAACGGGCATACCTCCTCAACCCCTCGAAAGTGATAGCTGTTGATGTCTCAGCCATGTCTCTGTCTCAGTCTGCAGCTCAACCCCTGTGACAGCTGCATGTGGACAAGTCGCGCAAATGTTACGAAAATATAAACCTGCGGCGGAAATCCCTCTAGTGACTTGAAATATTTAAAATGTTAAAAGTTAGACCATCACATTTACTAATCTTATCTACCCCTGGAACTAGCTAAACTAGTTATACATGTTTATTACGTTCTGTCGTGTCGGGTGACTCATTACTGGATCAGCGAGCTGCATGAGACACAGGCGGGCTGTCAGGGGAGAGAGAGAGGGAGAGGAAAAGAGAGGCTCCGTGTATTAAACCCGCCGTGTTATTATCCAAAGTTACTGTAAACTTCTGAATAATGTAGTAACTACTAGTCTAATCTCTCAAAGGGAGAATCTAGTGTGTAACTATAGTGTGATTACTGAATTTATAACAGTAACGTGTTACATTACTCCGTTACCGACAAATGTAATGTTATTACAGTAACGCGTTACTTTGTTACACCCAACTCTGTCCACAATAATACAATCTGAACTCACCTGTTGATGCTGTCGTCATAATGTCACTGCAGGAACAAATCTACTTCAGCTGGAAACCAAATGCTTGGTTAAAGAACCTAGGGAGAGTTTAAAAATAATTGTTGGTGTTAATAAAACAAAACATGCTCTTAACAATCTTTGTTTTAGAGACAATTTTATTTTTCGAATATTGTGAAACAATGACTTTGTCTAAACTACTCTATGTTTCTAACTGTATATAAGTGAAAATAAGTTTGTTATAATCATTAGCTTTGACGATGAGTTTGCTTTAAAAAAAAAAAATCAGCTACCAATCTATGTTTTAGTTTCGTATTCATAGCTATAGTGGTACAAAGTGAATGTGTTACGAGTGGCGTACCATGGGGTTTTAGACAGTTTTAGACAGGGCATTCAGTAAACTATTGAAAAGCACCTACACACACTTTACACGTCTCTGTTCCAGCCAACGCAGCCATAATCGAGTAATGCGCACATGATGCCAAACAGTCTCTCAACAATACGACAGCTGATCAACAATCACAACAGTAAGCTAGATAAGGCTGGGTTAAATGCAGACGACATGTTCCAACATTGATCAATGAAGTCATCTATTATTAAACTTATGTCATTGTGCACTCTCACATCGCTCTAGTAATGTACTCACCCGTCAATTGTAAATAAAGTCCATGCTACGAAGGGAGTGTGACTCCATGTTGTGACATGCCCGATTTGCATTGCGGAAGCGCGAGTGCCACAGTGACGCGTCCTAAAACCCGGAGGTAAGCTGCGCATGGGTTCCTTCGACAAAAAAGCAATGCAATTTCTCGAAATAAGGTCTGTGGTTGACACACAAGAGACGGATCACGTTTTGTTCAGTCGGATAATCTCCACATGTCTACCCTACTTTTATAATTTTCGAATCAGAAATCTAATCGATAGATTTATGATCGAACATTTTGACTTTTTCCAGAATTATGATTTATTTGTATTTTATTTGACTTTCTACCAGAATTATGAAAAAATTCTAATATTTTCAAATTTCTGATAAAAAAAAGTCAAGATTTTGACAAAATCATTTTCTGATCAAAAGTAAAAAGTCTAAATTCAGACTTTTTTATCAAAACTCCCAAATATTTTTATTTATTTTTTAAACCTTTATTTAACCAGGTGGTCCCATTGAGATCATCGATCTCTTTTTCAAGGGAGACCTGTCCAACATGGCAGCAAGTAGGTTACAACATGAACATAAAACAGATAACACAAAACGACATCGTATTTACAGGGCTACATTTACATACCTAGAGACATTGAGAAGTACCAACAGTATATTTATATCTCGCCCTGTCAATAAGCCTCACCTTCTTGGCAAAAACGGTATTGTTTTTGAAGTGGTGGAGAGACAATCATAGGCGGCGCGTGAGGCTCAGGTTTGGGAAGGCTAAATAACTTGTTTTACCTGACGCTGCCTGCCTCCGGCGTCTATAGAAAAGAGATCGACTCAGTGAAAGCACCGCCTGATCAGAGCTCAGTGTGCGGAGTTTAAATATATCAAGTCATATTACAGGATAAAGGAAATACAGTTTAAACTGTCGTATGAAGAGAAGACACCGACGTGTCGCACTTATCATTCATATCACATCATCAATCAGATCATCGATCATATAATATCATAATATATCATAATATATTTCCTTATCTGAGTCAGCTTTTTGAGCCGTATCTGACCGTGCAACACTTAGCCTACATTGTCACATACTGTATGCAGAAGTATTATTTTAAGCAACACATTAGGTTGACGAAACACTCAACTCAAATGTAATTAAAGTCAGATCCACTCGTGTCTTAGATGGGGCAGTGATATCATAAAACTGTTGTACGCTTTCAAACACTCAGTAGTTTATTTATTTTTTAACCAGTTCTATATTCACCTTGCAGGTGCAACTATGTGGCTTGTATCCTGGATTATATGTTTAAGTCATGGATGTTTAAAGTTTATATTTGTCTAATATTAGTTTACTTTTCATTAATGAAGTATGACGCTTCGCTGTCAGTACACTTGTCCATGTTTGTGATTGGTAAAATGTTGCTAAGCAAAAACTCCCAGACATTTCAATGATTTGTACGGCAAAGTACGGTTTGGAAACTATATAATTTCCTTTTGGAGGGCATGCATAACACGGCAAACACCAGAGCCTCGCTGCGGGGAAACTTTGGCGCTGTTCCGAGTTTGTTCTAATCTGTCAAAATGACAGACTGCTTTCACATTTTTCCGTCATTGTTAAAAAAAATATTTGGTTAACGCGACCACTGCTGTCCCAGCAACATCAGTACCAAGCAAGAGAGTTTTTTCCACAGCAGGGGATATTGTAAACGCCCAAACATCCCAGCTTCTACCTGGAAATGTGGACATGCTCATATTCCTAAAAAAAATCTGTCTGATGATGCTGAGTGAGTGAGTTAGAGTTGAGTTACTTGAAAAACTAAAGTGAAACTTGATTTATTTTATTGCAGGGTCTGATTATTACATGTCCTTGTTTATTTCTGAGATGCAGTGGCACAAAGAAAATGCCTACTTTGTTTGGTAGTACTAGTAGGTAAAAAAACACAGGTTGCTCTTGTTCCAGTCTGTTACTGTCACTTTGTTTTTGGCACTGTAAAATACTACTATCCTACTAAAATGCTCTACAAATCAGATTTATTTTATTTCAAATTTCAAAAAAACAAATTCAATTTTTCTTTCTTTATTTTTCAATATCGCGATAAATACCGTACCGTTTTTAGTCCCACCACGGGGAAATGTACATTGTTACAGCAAAAGTGGCATAGCAGGTGCAAAAAAAATAGGAATGCAATAACACAGAATAAGCTAACATATTAATATATAGAAGAAAAGCACACATTACCTATACCAGAATATAAATGTGTACTGTAAGTACACATCCATGGCTAAAAATTATGAACTTCAGAACTTATTGACACATAAAAAGAAATGTTGGGACATTCATTTCAATGATGGTTTCACATAAAGGTGATTGTTGCACAGTATTTCAAGAAAAGTGTCTTTATTGCAGATCATTCAACAGAAACCCCAACACTTTGAGAACAAGCTGCTCACAGACAGGGCGACATCTTGTGGCCGCACATGCTCTAAATATAGAGAGATATATGTAAATAAAACAAAGGATGACACAACATTGTTTTTGGCAAATGTGGCAGTGAGTGATTAACACAAGAACATGAACATGAACACACTTACTGAGACGACATGTTCGACTCAAAACCACTGAGTAAATGGCAATACTGTCTATTCTGATAATATAAAAACAAATCAAACTTTCAATCAACCCCCCTGTCCTGGTGAGCTCCCCTTTATGCTTCCCTGCTCCCCTACACCACCCAGTGTTCAGGAGAATATTACAACAGATTAACAAATAAAACATACAGATAAAATGGCTGCAACAAAGATAACATGTATTTATGATCACTCACTGAAACTTGGCTGATACTCAAACAATATGTCAGCGGTGTCAAAGTCAACTTTATTGTCAATTCCTCTATTCGGGAATACAAATATATAAAAATAAATATATACATACACTCCTTTACACCCACTTATACGTGTATATATGGAAACAAATATACATATACACACATTTAGAGGTAAAAATACAGATACTGTAAGACACAACAGTAAATATATTTAAAAAATAACGGATGAGAGGCCACTCCACCCAGTCACATTAATACACATATTCCTCGAGGAACAGGCCAAGGAGGTGGAGCTGCAGCCATCTTTGATTCTACTTATCAATCCTACATGAACATCTAAACTCCTTTGAAAGCCTTGTTCTCAGTCTTTCAACCTGGAAAACACTGCAGCCATTCTAACTTGTTGCAGTGTATCGAGCCCCAGGTCCTTATTCAGAGTTCCTATCAGAATTTTCCTGGTAATTATCCTGGGTGAATGTAATATTCTTCTTGACAACATGATAACCTTACTATTGCATTTAATTCTTTATTAAACTAATGTAAAATGTGTGATATTGGGCTATATATTGATTGAACATTTACAATAGCAGGATTGATTTCATACATTTATTTACTCACTGAAAAGCGCACCATGTTAAAAAGACGCACCTACACCAACTGATCTGTACATTACTGAAGTTATTTTACTTTAACCTTAAATCCATAAAACAGACAACGTTTAATCTGCACCTTGAGGGTTGGTTCAACTATTGATAATAAAAAGTAAAACATTCTACTACAGCTGGTAAGGTTACGTTTGCAATCAGTAAAACCATAATGTATATAAACAAACCAAAAAAAAGATACTCACAAAGTGGAAATGTCTCAATGAGTGCTAGTTCTTTCTGAGTGGCTTGGGTTGGACCCTGTTGAGAATTATCATCCAGAAATCTGCTGTTCAATGAAGAGGACATGATGCTCTATCAGCTGACGTTATGATGATCATGAGTCAGTATGAAGATCAGAGGATGGTGCACTTGCTTTGGTTTTGCAGTTCTTGTTCAAGGTTTTTCGTCACTTGTTCTATTTCCCGCAAGCGCTTGCATATATCATTGTTTTCTTCAGCTTCTTTTCTGGCCTCCTCTTCATATTTCAGATACATTTCTTTCAGTTCTTTTTGAAAGTTTTCCTCCATTTGTTTTTTCTTCATCTCTTTTTCTCTTCTTAGTTTTCCTAGTTGTTCTTTTTCCTGCTCGTACTCTTCTTGCAACCTTTTAAGTTTTGTTTGCTCATCTTGTAGTCTCTTTTCATTTTCTTCTTGTTTTCTGATCCGCGCTGCTTTTCTCTCCTTCTTCCATTTAGATTTTTGCTTCTTTATCTCTTCTTTGTTCTGCTCTCTTTCTCCGCCATGTATTTGCTCCCATTCCATTCGTTGAATTTCTTCCTGCCTTGTATTCTCTATCTCATCTCTCCTTCTCTTCTCTCGTTCCTTGTTGATAATTTCCTCCATTTCTTCAAGCTGTCTGGCTTTCCTCCTCTTACTTTCGTCTCTCTCTTGTTTCTTTCTTTTCTTCATTACTTCCATTTTCTCTATGTGTTTTCGTTGCAGCTCCTTCCTCTGTCTCTGTATTTTTTCTTCCTTCTCCTTCAGGATCTTCTCCACTTCCTTCTTTATGGCCGCCTCGGTCTCTTGAAACATCTCTGAGGTGAAGCAGCTGCCGCCATTTTCCTTCAGCATTTTGTTGGTCTTCTCCATCAGCTCTCTGACTTGCCTGCGGTCGGTCTGATCTTTGTTATTGAAGACATGGTATCTCCCTCCACAGTCCTTTATCAGTTGTTTCAAGAGGTCATCAGATTGTATGTAACTCTCTATTGTTTGATGATCATTCAGATCATCTCCTCTGGTGAATATAGGAATGATGAAATCTCCAGATCTCTTGCCAAAAAATGTTTTGATCAGTTCCACGGTGTCTTTTTCCTCCTGGGTAAATCGGCCGATCGGCAGCACCAGTAAGAACACATGAGGTCCAGGAGACAACATGCTGATGCATTTCACAAGCTCTTCATGAACTTCATCATTGGACAGTGTTGTGTCAAACAGACCGGGGGTGTCCACCACAGCGACAGGACGTCCATCAATCTTTCCTGTTGCTTTCGTGCAAAACTTGGTCACTGACTTTGAGCTGGCAGTTGAATCAAAATATTTTCCGCCCAAAATGGTGTTTGCAGTTGCACTCTTCCCACTGCCAGTCTTCCCAATCAGCACCATCCTGAGACACTCTCTGTTCTGTTCCAGCTCTACAAACTTCTCCATCTGAGCCTTGGTGAACATCTTCATTGTAAAGCTCCTTGATCCTTTACCTCTCATCTCTTGCACAGCACCAAACAGCTCTGGGATCTGCTGCTGGTTCTTGATGTTGAGAACAACATGTCTTCCTCCACATCTCTGACGGAGCTCCTGGAGGTCCTTGTTCTTCTTGAGAAAGTTAACAACAGCTGGAGCTGTAGGATCTGACTCCACAGTGGACAGAATCAAGGTGAAGTCGTTGCCTCGAGAGCTGAATGTGTTCTGGAGGGTCTCTATCTCTCCCTTGTCTTCATCAGTGAGGGGACCCACAGGTAGGACCAGGATGAAAGCATGGACGCCTTCAGGTTCACAGAGGGAGATACACCTGGATGATTCCTCCATCACTTCCTCCTGAGGTTTTCCACACAAAGCAGGGAGCTCCACCAGGGAAACCCTCTGTCCACACACCTCTCCCTGATGTTTAACACACTCTGAGGAGTTGGAGACTGAAGGAAGCTCTCTCTGACCTAAAATGGCCTCGGCTGCTGAAGTCTTACCTGCTACTCTCCTCCCACACAGAACCAGGTTTAAAGCTGGTTTGATGTGTGAAGACTTTGGTGCCATCATCAAACCTGCATCCTCAAACACATCACAGCTCACATGCTCTCCATTGTTCTCCTTTGCAATTTGACCCAAACGTGTTAACAGCTCTGAATGGTCAAGGTTCTGACTAAAAAAACTGTATCTACATATTCTGATCATATATTTTAATGGTGGATGTTTTACAACATTGTCATTGAAACCTGAACTCCTCTCTTCTGGTGGTGATATTAATACCAGTGAATGATTGAATGATTGATCACCAAAGAGTTGCAGGAATCTGCAGAGTCTCAGTTTGTGGTTCTCAGTGAAGTGCTCAGGCTGTAGAACCAGCAGGAACACATGAGGTCCAGGATCAGAGAGCCTCACACAGTCTTTTACATCTTGTGAAAGTTGCCATTGGGTGATGTTGGGATGCAGCAGATCTGGGGTGTTGATAAGAACTATTTTCTTTCTTTTAAACTGTCCACTGAATCTCAGACACCGGTGTGGTTCTTTCTCAGTGTTGAACACAGTGTCTCCCAGTATGAAGTTCCCCACTGAACTCCTCTCAGCCCAGCTGTTCCCCAGCAGAACTACCCTCAGCTCAGAAACTGAAAAGGAAAACACAGAATTAGAAAAACTACTCTTCAACCAAAAACTAATGAAAGAGTAATATATTTTCAAAGGTGGACTTGAGTAAATGTGTCAGCTGTTATCTTGAAACGAGTAAAATCAACAGAGAGCTTGCGTAAATTAAATGGAGAAAAAAAAGATGTTTGTACCCACAATCTACAAAACTGTGATTTTAGATGTTAATTTACATTAAATAATGTTGACTCAGTTCTGTTAAACTCACAGTATGGTGGCAGTAATTCATAGCTGTTGCGCCGCCTCACAGGTTGCAAATCTTCTGACACTAAAATAAATCAGAACATTCACAACATATTTCATGAATACTTGAGGAAGGAATGGTTGTTCTTTTTAAATTACTTATGTTGTGTAATATATCACAATAAACAGCAGATTCACATACATTTTACTAAAGTACAAAGGTTATAATTCTTTATATTAATTAACAATAACCAATTCTGAACTCACCTGTTGATGCTGTCGCCATAATGTCACTACAGGAAAAATCTACTTCAGCTGGAAACCCAATGCTTGGTTAAAGAACCTAGGGAGAGGATATGTAAATGTGTCAGACACTCAGTTCATAATAGAAATAAAGTCTACTCATAGTCTACTCTTTGTATATAAAGTCAAGTTAATCAAAGTTTGAAAATAGGTTTGCTGTTAATAAAACAAAACATGCTCTTAACAATCTGTGTTTAAGAGACAAAAACTATTTTATAAACAAAATATATAAAAACTTTATATAAGTGAAAGATGATTGATAAACCTTAGGTTAGACGATGAGTATGCTTTAAAAAAACAAATCATCTTCCAATCTGTTATAGTTGTGATGCAAGTGGTACCAGGTTAATGTGGTTCCAAGGGTCGTAAACTTGCAACTCTGATCTTGTTTTTATAGCTGTTGTAATGCTTATCAAAAAGGTTTCAACTTTCTTGTTCACATTCAGTCTGAACTTCAGACTCCAATCTTATCATTTATAGTTATAGAACAATAAAACACATGAATACATTTCTCAGTACAAGTACATTTCATGGTCGCCCAAACATTTTTTTTCATTCATTGCAAAAATGTATATATTCCTTTAAGCTCTGCTGTACTAATGTGGTGACTTTACAAACAGTGATTCTGCTGCAGCTAATCACCTGAGTAGTACATGTACCTCAGGGTTAGTAACAGTCATTACACTACATTACACATGTCATTTGTTAGACACTTTTAGTGTTTAGTGTTTTTAGTACTCTTTACTCAACCAACTAAGAACGACTTCTTTTGTACAATGATACACTTTGTTTACTTTAGTTTATTTAAATCATAATTCAGGTGTGTCTACTCACCAGGTGAGATCCTCTTTGCTTCCATCCATGAAATGTCAAACTCTGAAATGAAGCCGAACTTGAGACGACCTTTGCTCTCAGACTGAGCTGAGCACACGATAAACGTTCATCAGCCTAATTAATATTTAACAATCACAGCTTTACACCAGGATCTGGGAAGCCTGGTGGATATACAACTATACTATACTTTCTACTGGAGGTATCAAATCTGATCTAATTACAAATAACAATTCCATGTGTAGCATCTCTAGCCCTTTCTCACACCAAGAACAGAGGCACTAACATCTACCTAGGTCTGAATAGTGGTATGCCGTGAATAACTCTGGGAAGTGTTACATTTAGTTCAACATTCAGATTAAATTGTGCCCACAATGTGAAAATAAATGTAAAATAAAAAATAGAGAACTTATAACATATAAATAAAAGTGTCCTTTCTGTCATAAATCTTAGAAATATCTTTAGTTTGTAAGTTTTACAATTTAAACAGAAACAACAAGGCATATTTCATTTAAAATGAAATGATTTACTTTAATCACCAATGTGTATTTTAACTAGTGATAAATAACTTGTATTTTCAACCAACACATCTTACATTCAAGCAGAAATACATTAATTATACACTGTAGGTTTTAACAACCATTTTAACAGTTTTTAACCACTTTTTAACTGTTATTCTTAACCATGAAAACACATTTTAGTCAGCATGAGTCAGCATTTAGCTGCACAACAGCTTATGAAATGAATGAACTACTAAAAGAGAGTGGCTTTAACTAAAATGAAAACAATGCTCCTTTAATATTTAGGCATGCTATCAGCTTCTTTTCGAAATAACAAGTACTGTTAGCCATTAGCTCCTGCTAGCGTTTAGCATCAGCTCACAGTTAGCGCTAGCTCGCGATTAGCTGCTAATCGCTAATGATCTTATTCAAATGTATTTACAATGATACAATGTGCACGAAAGTGAATCAAAAACACAAGACATCACTTTCATAAGCCCAACTGTTTTGATATGAAATGTATATTGACCATAAACAACAAAAACGAACTGTCATTGTCTATAGGCTATTAGCAGGCTAGCCCTTCAAAGTGCTAACAAGCCTCAACTCACCTGAGTTTCCACACAAATCGACACTGGCTGTCGTCTTCTAGTTTGGATTCACACAGGGGTTCTGCTAATAATAATAGTATGTTAACTAACATAGTTTGAGTATGGATAACAAGATTTGTAATGCTATTATGTACAACTTTAACAAGAACTGCTCGACCTTTTCAGTGAAATAGAGGGATAGAGGCGGAGTGATTCGTGCCACTCATCTCCCTGGGTTTACATTTTAGAGCGCTCCGTGCAAGCAACATGTATTCATAGATATTAATAACATAAAGGGGTCTAGTTAGTAGAGGGGACCACAGAGGGGAAATGTTAAATTGATACAGCAAAGAGCCAAAGATATCTTTATATTATTGTATTATTGTAATGCACTTTATATAGGGGTTAGTGGCTCCTCCATCACTTGTCTGCAGTTGGTGCAAAATGTAACAGCACAGCTTTTAAATGGCACACACGTAAACACAAGAACATTTCCCCCATTTTAGCTTTACTCCACTGGTTTCCAAACATTTAAGGATTCATTTTTAAATGATTTTATTCACACTTAGGCCTATATCCCTCAATGGACTTGTGCTATGCTACACCCTGAACGCCCATCCGCCTTATAAGGTCAGCAGATCAACCCAGTCAAAGTCAAAGCTCAGAGATTCTCAAGAAATAGTCAAGGTTTTGACCTGTTTGAAGTTTTGAAAATTCTGACTTTTTCAAGAACACTTTTTTCTCAAAACCAAAAAACTTTTGGTCAGAAAATTCAAAATTCTGACTTTTTTTAAACTTCTGAGAAAAAACTCAAAATTATTTTTTATAAAAAGTCTTGACTTCCACAACTGAAAATAAAAAAAATATTATTATAAGAATTCTAAGTCAAATTTCTGACTTTTTCAAACTTCTCGGTTTGAGTTCTGAGAAACGGAACTAAAAGTGAGAAACGGAACTAAACTAGAAAATGCATTTCCTGCAGAAAATGCGTGCGAATGCTGTAAACTGTGAACATTTGTGGCTGAATTTAGCTGAAAAAGCTGAATATGTTATTAGCTGAATGGTAGCTGCTTTTAGCTACAAAAATGCAGAAAAAGCTTAATATTTAAAAGAAAAGGTTTAAAAAAACATGTATAGCCTTGATGTAATGAAATAGCTGAATACTGTAATAGTTGAATGGTTTCTGGAGCTGAAAATAGGCTGAAGGAGTTAAATATCAGATGTAAGTAGTAGTGAATGAATTTGCATTAAGATGAGAAAAGAAAGTAAAAAGGCTTGGGAAAGCAGCAGAATATTTGAACTGCAAACTTTTGAACTAACTTGATGGTGAATTATCTGTCGCCATGGCAACGGCATTTGATGACACCCCATAATACGCTTAGATGTGTTGATGGCTGCATCGTTACCAAACCTGTGAAGTTTTGGGCCATTTCGATCATTTTCACTGAAGTTATGAGAAAACCGTGTTTCATGGTGAGCATTGTGTTGCAATGGCAACGGCATTTGAAGAAATCTCAAAACTGTCCCGTAGATGTCTTGACGGCTGGACTGTTAGCACACATGTGAAGTTTGAGCACTTTTTGAACATTTTCATAGGAGTAATACATTACATTAGGAGGTTACATTACTCTCTCTCTTCTCTTGATCACCCTCTCAATCTTCTATCGCCCTCTCTCTCTTCTCTTGATCGCCCTCTCTCTCTTCTCTCTCTCTTCTCTTGCTCGCCCTCTCTCTCTTCTCTTGATCGCCCTCTCTCTCCTCTTGATCGCCCTCTCTCTCTCCTCTTGATCGCCCTCTCTCTCTCTTCTCTTGATCGCCCTCTCTCTCTCCTCTCTCCCCTGAAACTCCCCATTAAGAATGCATTGAGGTTTGTATCTGACAATTTTGTCACCTGTTCAAAAACCATGGCTCCTATCAAAAAATGACCAGACCGTGAGCATCAGGGAACCCCATTGAACTGATATATGTTGTTTTTTTTGGTTTTGTGTGTAAAATGTGGAGATGGGAGCAGTTTGTCTAAAGTGTACTTCTCTCTGTTCTGAAGAAAGTTCCGGAAAGATTTAACATGGGAATCAATTGGGAGCTAGGTGGACTTTTTGTCACTCTGATCACTATTGGGCCAGAACGGTGTGTCCGTTTGATATGATGAAGGCAATTGAGCAGGCCAGACTAATAATGCTCCTGAAATCTTTTGAAATTATTTGAATAGATTGTATATTTTGGCTCTGAGAGCAGTTTTAAAATATTTTTTCCGAAGATTTTTAAGACCCTCTACACTCTAAGTGATGATGTCACGCACTCTAAAATCTAAAACAGCCTCAATTTTGAATAGCTGAAGGTCTTGTGATCATTTGAAAGTTGGAATGAAGTGTCTAGCTGAAAGTATGTGGAAGGAGTAGCATTTGGCGCAAGGTGTAGGAAAAGAGGATTTGAAGGCATCTCCCATTGACTTCAATGTTAAAAAAAAGAGTTTAAAAAGCTGAATATTTCAAAAAGTATAAAATATTTTTAAAAAGTTGAAGGTTTCCCATCGATTCCGGAACAGGCTGAATAGTTTGATATTTGAATGGTTTCTGTAGCTGAAAGTAAGCTGAAGTTATGGAGAGCCAAAGTATTGGCTGAAATAATAATAAGCGGAAAGAATAAAGATTTGAAGTACTATAGTGGAATGCTGTGGCACAGCATTCCACTAATAATTCAGACATATTTCATATTTCAAAAATATGTTTTAGTTCTGAGAAAAAAGTTGGATAGTGGCAGAAAAAGTATTCAGATTCTTTACTAAGAGGATTAGGGCCACGCTTAACATTTTGAAAAAATATTGAATTTTGACTTATTTTTCAGAACAAAAAAACCCACAAGAAAAGTCTTAAATTCTGATATCAATAAATAGAAATGCTTGCAGCCTGCAGTTTCTCTCACCACCACGAGGGGCAGTGCTACTTTAAAAACGCCCACAGTGTTCAGATTTCCAGCTGGACGTCACTCTGCATGCTCTCCTCACATCAGCTGCACAACATTCCTGATTTTATGCTAACCGGAATGTTTCCAAGCCCCAAATGTATGACCTGCCTGGACCCGGGGTGGGAGTTTATGAATGGACGGGCATTGTGCCGATGATGCAATAAGTTTGACCCCTTCGGTATGGGTCGGAACATTTCAGGGCAGCTTACTGAGAGAGCATAGTGAAGGTGCCCACATATACATCACAGGCAGATTTAATAGCCATATAGATAGAGATAGTGGAGCCTTCCAGATGTAGAGGACATAATCTGTGGTCTGTGCACAAGGCAAGGAAAGAAGTGGATGTCAAAGAAACTGATCATACATTTGATGATCAGGGACTTCCTTCTTATGTCAAAAGAGTGGTTGGAGTTTAAGTTAATAATACAAACTCACTCACTTCATTATTGGGTTCTGTGTAACTTAAAGGAAATACAAGTAGATTTTTAAGGGGTAAATGGGGGGGAAATAAATAAAACCTCTTTACCTTTTTCTATATTTGCCACTGAAAATTGTATGAAGAGGTGTCATTATTACATTTTTACATACTCATTTTGTGTTTCCATGAATCCAGGAATATAGATTTTCTTATAAGGTGTATTGGGGTCCAGGGCTACTGAGACAAAACTAATAGAAATCCTTTGACTGGGAATAGATTAATACACACATACCTCCACGAACACCAAATGCCTCATCTTGCATTTTAACGAACGAGAATGTCGGATACACTCCAGAATTTAATGGGTTCTTAATTGGCCCATGCTTTTCTCTGCTACCAATTTTCATGTAAATAAGGCAAGTAGTTTGTGCTCTAAATAAGACAAAAACAATAAAGTCATATTTGATTTACATTAAGAAAGTAGGGAGAGTTCAAACAGATTAATGTCATACAATAATAACACACACACACACACACACACACACACACACACACACACACACACACACACACACACACACACACACACACACACACACACACACACACACACACACACACACACACACACACACACACACACACACACACACACACACACACACACACACACACACACACACACACACACACACACACACACACACACACACACACACACACACACACACACACACTCCCTGAGATTCCTGCGGAGTCAGCTCTTCTTTGATGGGGCACCCTGAGTCCGCTGCAGGTCAGACTAACAGACTCTGCCTGTGCTCTGTGTTAGCTCACTGCAAACAACAGTAGCACTACTGTATTTAAACATACCTGCCTACAGGGCTCTCTGTATACCTGCACAGAGACGTGTTACTGCACCAAACTGTGCACACACCTCGCCTCCACATGCTTCCCTGTTTGCACATGGCACAGGTCTGCTTCTTGTGAAATACCTTGTTTTTATGACACGCTTAGAGAGTGTAACAGTCTGGATTCTGACCAAAGTACGAGTAAATGCACGCTTGATTCTGGGATATGATAAGGTTACCAGGTGTAGTTTGATATAAAGGAAAACGTTCTTATCTTAAACTACTTATAACAAGATCTGTAGATTAGTAACCATTGCATGTTTCTTTGAGCTCTACTACCACAATTCCATTTTATAAGATAAAAGGTAGACATCTCCCTGGCCGATATCTCCAACATTTAGCAGCTTTCACCACAAGATTCAAGGCTTTATTGTCATTTGTACATTAGCTACAGTGTAGATATGTCAATGAAAAATGTAGGTCATAGGCTACAACAATCTGGACTGATGAATTGCCCAGAAAGAATATGTTAATTTATTTTAATTTAGCATGAATTGTCCCATTTAATGTATGTTTTTCAGAGGGTGTGTGTGTGTGTGTGTGTGTGTGTGTGTGTGTGTGAAATAAATACAATTAGATACAATTAGATACAATTAAATACAATAAATACAATTAGATACAATTAGATACAATTAAATAACATAAATTAAATAATAATACTAAAACTAATGTTTGAAAACTGACCGCCTCTCTTGTTCCTCTCCTCTCAGATCACCATCCAGAGGGACAGCGGTCTGGATGTCAGCGCCCCGAAACACGGAAAGATCGACGCAAACAACGATCCTCACGTTGGAGGAAACCAGTGGGCGGGAGGCACAGGTAACAGAGACTCTGACTGACTCTCAGAGGTGGGAAGTAGTGGAGTACAAATACTTAGTTACTGTACTTAAGTACATTTTTCTGGTATCAGTACTTTACTCCACTACTTATTTTTCTGACGAGTTTTTACTTTTACTTCTTACATTTTGAACACAAATACCTGTACTTTCTACTTCTCACATTTTGAACCCAAATACCTGTACTTTCTACTTCTTACATGTTGAACACAAATACCTGTACTTTCTACTTCTTACATGTTGAACCCAAATACCTGTACTTTCTACTTCTTACATGTTGAACACAAATACCTGTACTTTCTACTTCTTACATGTTGAACACAAATACCTGAACTTTCTACTTCTTACATGTTGAACACAAATACCTGTACTTTCTACTTCTTACATGTTGAACACAAATACCTGTACTTTCTACTTCTTACATGTTGAACACAAATACCTGTACTTTCTACTTCTTACATTTTGAACACAAATACCTGAACTTTCTACTTCTTACATGTTGAACACAAATACCTGTACTTTCTACTTCTTACATGTTGAACCCAAATACCTGTACTTTCTACTTCTTACATGTTGAACACAAATACCTGTACTTTCTACTTCTTACATGTTGAACACAAATACCTGTACTTTCTACTTCTTACATGTTGAACACAAATACCTGTACTTTCTACTTCTTACATGTTGAACACAAATACCTGTACTTTCTACTTCTTACATTTTGAACACAAATACCTGTACTTTCTACTTCTTACATGTTGAACACAAATACCTGTACTTTCTACTTCTTACATGTTGAACTCAAATACCTGTACTTTCTACTTCTCACATTTCCCAAACAGGCTGGTTCCTTTAGTTTGAATGTGTGTTTGGTGGCGTGATCATTATTATTTAGAGTCATTGCGTGCCTATTGATTTGAACACGATCCGTGTATCCATCATTTCCTGGTCTTCTCTAAAGAAGAGGGACCAATGAAAACGTTGTCATGTTGCCGTTGTTCAGCATGGAAACATTCATTAGCTAACAATGACATTATTGTTCTATTAATATAAAGGGAGGTCAGGTACTCTTTAAAACAGCTGCTAGTTATGGGTACTTTTTACTGAAGTACATTTCAAAGCCCATACTTCTTTACTTTTACTAAAGAATAAAGAAGAGTAAAAGAAGTTTAGTCTGTACTTCTACTTTTACCAGAGTATTTTTAAACATGAGTATCTGTACTTCTACTTGAGTAAAGGATGTGTGTACTTCTGCCATCTCTTACTGACTCAGCATCACGCAGGAATCCCTTAAATCCACCATATGGTGATTAAAATCTGTGAAGAAACTTCACACACACATCACTATGATTGATGGCATGTTAGGAAGTGTAGATATGAGAGAGAGGAAGTGCTTATTGCCCCTGGGCAAGGCACTCAGTCTCCCTTCGTTCGAATCAAAGGTTTGGATTAGTGTTTGTCCATAATAGTTGGAAAAGACAATAATTGTGATTATGATTTATAGTTTCACTTGTTTAGCATACCTTTTGTTTTGTCAATATCTATCTGTTTTTCACTGTTAGTCATATTAAACTTGAAGTAATGACCTTGAGCTCCAGGAAATTGAGGGCATTTTATCAGTTAAACAAGAATCCAATGATAATCTAAAACAAAATAATTAAATAGTTCAATAAATAGTTGGGAAAAAGCTAGATGTCCAGCCACGGTTGCAGACAAAAAGTGCTTTAAGCAAATGTGATTGGTTCAAGATTAAATGATGTCTTTCGTCAGAATCTTAGATTAATCTCAGAACTCAAAGAATCACCTTTGGTCAGATCTCCTTCTTTTTACATGTGACATTATTATATTGTTACAGTATACTTAAGACATGAAAGATAAAATGTATAAGGGAATCGTGAGGTCAATCGTGACGTGTGATTCAAGTGACGTGATTCAAGATGGCGCCTGTGTCGGCTCGCCGCTCGCTCAGCTCTCTACCTTTAGCTGTCCTGTTTTTGTTTTATGTTTGTCAGAATGTCTCTGCTCTGCTCGTTTATGATCGCCAAGCTCTCCTCCACCTCAGACCCTCACTGGAGTTGATATTGCTGCCCAAACCTACATCTGGCAACCATAAATCGTCCCCCCCCACCTCTACTGTCGGATATCCCCACTTACCTACGGCGGTCACACTGCGTCCTGCCTCGCCGAAAGCGCTTTCGACGACGGGGAAAGCGTGGTGGTGCATTGGTCCATCTTAAGGCATACCTGACGGCTTCTTCTGTGAATTATCCACGCCTCGGATGTCATGGCCCTCCCGCTGCACGCCAAGTGAGGGATCGGTGGATTCGCCCCGTTTTTCCGGAGCTCCGGAGTCTGAGGGGCCCGCTGGCAGCTCCTCCTGCCCGACTGACTGCTCCCGGCCCGCGCGGCGTTCAACACGCACATCTTCGTCAGCTGAGACGCACTACACCTTCGGCAAGCCCGGAGCGAAAACTTTGCATGGCTTTGCTAAATGCTAGGTCGATAGCAAACAAAACGTTCCTGCTAAACGACTTCTTCACCTCTCGTGAACTGGATTTTATGTTCCTGACGGAGACCTGGGTCCACGCTGGCGAGTATACACCGTTCTCTGAACTTCTTCCTCCTGACTGTACATTCTTCAGCTCCCCCCGTGCCACTGGCCATGGTGGGGGCATAGCATCAGTGTTTAGAGCAAACCTCCAATGCCGATTGCTTCACCCTGTAACTAGCTATGCCAGCTTTGAGTTGCAGCTTTTTGAACTGAACCCGGCCTCGCCTATACTCTGCGCAGTCGTGTATCGTCCGCCAAAGTGTAATAAGGATTTCATAAATGACTTTTCTGACTTTCTGTCCGGGATCATGGTGAAATATGATCGTGTTTTGATTTCCGGAGATTTCAATGTCCATGTGTGTTGCGAGTCCAAACCTCTGGTTAGGGACTTTTTAAATCTCCTTGATTCCTTTGGTCTCGTTCAGTCCGTGGCTGGCCCAACACACGAAAAAGGACACACTTTGGACTTAGTATTATCGTTTGGACTGTCTGTATCTGTGGATGAAATATGTGCAGCAACGCGTATCTCAGACCATTTACCGGTTCTGTTTACAACCTCCATCCCTTCCGCAGGAGTCGAATCACGTGCCCCTGCGCGTCGTCTGTGTTCGATTAACCCCTTGACTGCCTCACAGTTCTCTGATGCTTTTAATGCTTCTCCGATCTGTAAATTAGATGTGAACTGTGCTTTTAATGCTGATGAGCTTATCTCCATGTTTGATTCGACATGCACACTAATACTGGATTCTGTTGCTCCTTTTACGCTTAGACGCATCAAAGTTCTATCAGAGCCGTGGCTCAATGACTGTACTCGTGATCTCAGACGCGCTTGCAGGCGTGCAGAGAGAAAATGGAAAAAGGATAAACTCCATGTCTCCCTAGAAATCCTTCGTGCTTGCCTTTCTGACTACCAGACGGCAGTCAAAGCAGCCAAAACAGAGCACATTTCTCTGTTCATCTCCAAAAACAGCCATAAACCTCAGGTTCTTTTTAATGTCCTCAACTCGATCATTAATCCCTGTGATGTTTCTTCTATTGTCCCATCGACTACTCTCTGTGATAAGTTTCTTACATTTTTTATTGAAAAAGTATCTGCTCTTAGGCTAGCCCACACTAGTGCTACCCCAGATCCTGCTCCTTTTCTGTGCCCTGCTGTCCTCGACCACTTTGAGCCTGTATCCCTCTCTTCTCTCTCGGATGTAGTCAAGCACCTGCGGCCGACAAACTGCACCTCAGACAGCATTCCCTCTCGCCTTCTCAGAGATGTTTTTGATTCAGTTGGAGCAAGTATTTTATTACTTTTAAACACCTCTCTTACCTCAGGATATGTCCCAGCTGCCTTCAAACATGCCGTGGTTAAGCCACTACTTAAAAAGAAAAATCTCGACCCCTCCATTCTCGCAAATTTTAGGCCCATCTCCCAGCTACCTTTTTTATCAAAAGCCCTGGAGCGAGTAGTCTACGCCCAGCTGCAGTCTTTTTTAACCACGCATGGAATCCATGAAAAGTTCCAGTCTGGCTTCAAACCCATGCACAGCACTGAAACAGCTCTTTTAAGAGTTTTTAATGATCTGCTCCTAGCCGCCGACTCAGGTAGCCCAGCTGTCTTGGTGCTGTTAGACCTGACAGCTGCCTTTGACACTGTGGACCATAGCATCCTGCTGTCACGGCTTGAACAGTCCGCTGGCATCACAGGCTCTGCCCTTGCATGGTTCAGGTCCTACCTGACAGACCGTAGCTTCTCAGTGCAGCTAGGTGCCTTCTCCTCTGCCAAAGCCCCTCTTACCTGTGGGGTTCCCCAAGGCTCGATTCTGGTCCCCATCCTTTTTCTACTGTACATACTGCCCCTAGGTTCAATACTCACAAAACATAACATTCCCTTCCACTGCTACGCCGACGATGTACAGATCTATCTGCCTCTCAAAGCAAATGTCACACACTCACTACAGCAGCTGATGGACTGCTTAGCAGAGATAAAATCCTGGCTGAGCAAAAACTTCCTCAACCTCAACGAGAGCAAGACTGAGGTCATCTTTTTTGGACCGCAACCTCCAGCCTCTCCGGTTGATATTCTGGGCTCTATCAAAAAAAACATCCTCCCCTCGGTCATGAACCTTGGAGTGACCTTCACCAGCACTTTTAAATTCGACAAGCAGGTCAGCACCGTAGTAAAATCCTGCTTTTTTAAAATAAGACTATTGGCCAAAACCAAGTCGTATTTATCTTTTAAAGACTTAGAAAGGGTTATTAACGCCTTTGTAACCTCGAGACTGGACTATTGTAACGCTCTGTATGTGGGTATGGACCAGGCCTCAATCAAACGCTTACAGCTAGTCCAAAACGCTGCTGCACGTTTGCTGACTGGTCACAAAAAGCGCGACCACATCACCCCTATTCTGGCCTCATTACACTGGCTTCCAGTTCGGTTCAGAATTGATTTTAAAATCCTTTTATTTGTTTTCAAAGCACTAAATGGGCTGGCTCCGGCCTATATAGCTGAACTCCTCCAGCGCTACACCCCAGCCAGAGCCTTAAGGTCTGCTGACCAGCTGCTGCTGGTAGTGCCCAAGACCAGGCTAAAAACCAGAGGGCACCGAGCCTTCGCAGCAGCTGGCCCTAGGCTCTGGAACACTCTGCCCCTCCATGTGAGGTCGGCCCAGACCCTAGGGGTTTTTAAATCAAAACTAAAAACACACTTCTTCTCTCTGGCTTTCTAGTTAGAGCGGAGCACGACTCCTGACTTTTCCGTGTGTTTTATTCTTATTTTGTTTTTTAAGATATATCTGTTGTAATTTATTGTCGTTTATTGTGTTTTGTAGTAATGTGTTTTTATTACATGTACAGCACTTTGGCTCGACCAAAAATCGCTTTTAAATGTGCTTTATAAATAAAACCTGATTTGATTTGATTTGATAAGAAAGTGCAAGATGAAGATATTGCAAGGGATATAAAGCTGCCAGTAAAAATGCAGGAATACGTGACTATGAAAAAGGTTACAAATACTGTTGAGTGAGATAAAAAACTGCAGATTTGACAAATCAACTTGATGCCTCTTTATGGAGTGACGTCATCACTAAAACGTTCCCTTGCAGGTGGCAGAGACACGGCGGGGCTCGGGGGGAAAGGAGGTCCCTACCGGCTGGATGCAGGACACAAAGTCCACCAGGTAAGAAGCCAATCAGTTCACAAATATAACAATACCGTGAGCCAAAGATAATAACATAGAGGACCAAGAACTGAGCCTTGGGGGGACTCCACTAATAAATTAAATCCCTGTTAACTTCTGGAGGGATCCCAACTTCAGTCAAGTCAAGAACCAGCTGGAATTTAAAGCTATTCCCACCACCATACATCTTAATACAGTGGCGAGCCGTGACTTTTATACTTAGGCCCTCTGACCCCCCCCCCCCCCCCCCCCCACTTCCCTCGAAAAGAAAAGAAGAGTTATTACGTCACAGCATATACTTCAGCGGAATATCAAAACAACGGCCCGGGGTCCAAACGCATCAATGACAGCGACCCTCTACCACACAAAACAACACCTGTACATAACCCAATTTGTGTTCTTTGAAATCAAAAAGGATATTGCATTGTGTTTGTTACTTTCGTTGCAGTTGTGTCTTAAGTGTAATTTGGCTTGGCTTCCTATTTTGTGGACATGCTTTTATTTTGAAGGCAAGTTTAAGCTGTTGACAGGAATTTGTTGTTGCTATGGAAACAAGAAAAGCTTCACAGCGGGCGGAACTTGTCATAAAGTCTGCGATAATAAAACCCACCCATTTAGAGGGAAGATATGATTGGCCAATTGTACTGTCATTTGACATTACTCTCTCATTCAGTTACTATAGCGGGCCCTCTGTGAATGTACAGCAGGACCACCAATCAGCTCACAGTACTTCGCAGAGACGAGCTTCTTTCATTTAACCCTTCACATTCCAACAGAAACTGAATAGGCAGATTCGAAGGATTTATTTCTTTGGAAATGTTATTTTAAATACAATTAAATCAAGTTATTTTGGTAAAACTAATGAAAAATATAACAAAAAGAAATATTTAAAAAGAAAATATTCCAAAAAATATATTTTTTTAATGTGTTTAAATATTATTGTAGAATATCTTAGGCCCTCAGAGAGGGCCTAGAGGGCCCTGACAGCTCGCCATTGTCTTAATAAGGAGACCCAGAGAACGGTCTACCTCACCTCTTTGATGACGTCTCCGACGATCGATCATGCCTGAAGGATACGAGCTATAGTCAGTTCTCTCCCCTCCACCTTAAACGTCACACCCTGAAACCCAATTGTATTTATTCTGATGTAAACTGCTTAAATCACAACTTTCAGGAAAGAGGACAGGGCTCAGATTTAACTCATGAAATGCTTTTATAGCAGACATCGGATCAGAAAGTGTCTCAGCTGGGATTTGATCTGTGATGTTTCCTACCAGGTGTCCCAGGCGGAGAAAGACGCCGTCCCAGAGGAGGTCCGCAAAGCAGCCCGCGAGATGGGAGAGAAAGCCTTCAGAGAACGGTAGATAACACACACACCCACACACACACACACACAACACACACACACACACACACACACACACACACACACACACACACACACACACACACACACACACACACACACACACACACCACACACACACACACACACACACACACACACACACACACACACACACACACACACACACACACACACACACACACACACCGATCGGTCAGTCTGTTCTAGTTTGTCTACAGGTGTCCTAAGCTCATAAAGCCCTTTTTCTGTATTTTTTTATCTATCTACCTGACCTTATTTGGAAAATCATGAACAAATCTGATGTTTTTGCTGAAAAGCATGGAAAAAATGTGAGAACCTGCAGTAACACCTGCAGTGTTTTGCAATAAATGTATATAATCTGCAGCAACTATGACCTGGTTTTGGAAGTTTTGTATTTTAAATCTTACGTCAGATCCTTTATCTATGAAAGAGTTCTGTAAAGGCCGAAGCTACCATTGAGAAATGTCTGAATGTTCATCCTCCTTAACACAGCAGACCCGCTATGTACTTTCATAACATTTAAGAAAGACACAACAATGTCAAGCACGTGTTTAATCATGTTGTCTGTGATTGGGAAGTCCTCAGCAGATGAGTCCAGATAACTCATATCCAACATATTGTCTGCTTTAAATGCAATGTGTGTTTAGTCTAAAACATATCCAATGAAGTCATGTGCCTCTCCTCTCTCTGTGTGTTTCCCTCAGGCTGAAGGAGATCAATATGAGTGAGTACGACGCTGCTATGTACGAGCGGTTCTCCAGCGCCGTCAGCAGGCAGGTCCAATCTCTGCGCATCGTGCTGGACAGCCTGCAGGTCAGCATCACACACTGTAGCACAGAAACACCAGACAAAACAGAAAGCATTCATATCTAGATGTTTGGGTGGATTCTACGAAGTCTTTGTCATCTGAGAGATAAATAAACATGTCAAACAAACAACTGTTTACACCATATATGATACTAAGGTGTCAAGAAATACCAAACATTGTGTAAACAGTACAAAATTATATAGATTTTTTTAACGGGTGAGCATTTGGATTGTTCTCTTGTTTTAAGCATGCTATTTGGGCAAGACAATATTAAAAATATGATGGTATAGTCACTTAAAGGTGGGGTAGGTAATTCACTTCAGAAACACTTGTTGTTATATTCCATGGAATGCTCTTAACATCCCGATAGCAATGAATACATTAAATGCTTTGACAATAAATACATAAAAATATTTAGTCTGTGGAAGCTGTGGCGCTGTAAAAAGCACGACCAATCATCTGAGCCGGCCCGGCTAAAATAACTGGATGGCCTACCTGCCTGTCAGCCTTCCATCTGTGCACAAACTTATCTCGTGCCCTCATTGGTCGTGTGCGCGTTCGTGTGTGTTGGAGGAGGGGCTCTGTAAGGAAGTCTGAAGGAAGACGCAGATTTTTTTCGGTTGTGTACTTTCAAATTCTAGCGCACTTGAGCTGGTTTCTCCATTCTTACCTACCCTACCTTTAATTTTATAGTATATTTTCAATTTACACAAAAAAAAAGTTGTTCAACTTTATGATTCCAACACACCCAGCATGCATCAACCAAGATCTCCTCAAAGAAGCTCAAACAAAGACAGGAAAATCTAAACCATAATAATAAAATGGAGACAAAATCACTTCCTGGGATCTTGCTTATTGTTCTCTCAACCAATCAGGACGCTCCTTGGGGACAGCGCCCCCTCCTTCCTGGGGTAGTTTTAGGTCATCTCGACATTAACCTGTGAAGCCCGAGAGACCCCGGTACCGGGGCACTTCCGCAACATCTTGCAGGAAACAGTGTCTGAGGGCATGTTCATTTAATAAACTATGAATGTTTTATATCCCTGTAACGGGAAGAAACTCATCTAACTGATCATTTTTATTTATTTTTCAAAAGAAAACCCACAATGCTAACACTGAGCCTCTGAATTAGCAACGAGCGAAAAATGCCAACAGATTACTGCACCGAAAATCACTCACAAAACCTTATTATTTATCTTTTCTCCACATCCATGACATCGTTTCACATCGTGAGGTGACACAGAATCGATGGGTACCCTCAGTATCACTGAATTATACGAAATGGCGACGTTATAAGCAAAAACAGACATCAAAACATTTGACGCTAGGTAGCTAAAAATGCTAACAAGGTTACCTTGGCTCTGTAGTCTCTCCAAAGTGGTCTTCAATGGCATTAAAACGATAAAAACGCTGCTGAAGTTAATCCATAGGTTAATCCAATGTGTCTGTGTCCCTTTGAAATGATTTCTGATAATCCATGAGCAATGAGACGGATAATCCATGCTATTCCGTTTCTAGATGTCAGAGCTAGAGTGTAGCTTCACTCTAATGCAAAATTACATGCGCAAAGCCCCCACCTTTTTGTTTCACAATGAGTGTGTGTGGGGGACTCCCCCTTCGATTCTATTGGCTCTAACGGTCAGAAAGAGGTGTCAACCATCAACATCGAGCAAGGGGGGCCAGAGATATGGAGAAAAAAAACATTTCCACCCAAATCACCTCAGAGGTGGGGTGTTTTTGGCTAAACCTCTCTAAAAAGGTAAAATGTCACTTGTTTTGCATCAATCTTGATACAGGGTACTTATTATATGTTGTACTTTGGATTCCTAAAGCTTTTAGTCTACTAACCCATCATCCAAGGGTAGTTTTCACTATAAGTAAAAAAAATAATTTTTGGACGGACACTATAATTTACAGTTTTTTACTATGTAAAATCTGAATTTTCTTTAAAATAAAAAACATCTATATTGATTCTGACTTTTCTACATCCAACTCACAGGTTTATCATTACTTTGAGAAAAAAGATTATTAATTTAACCCTTTTAGAAGGGAAGATATGGTCATTTGTTCTGGGAATGTCATTTTCGAGCCTGAGACCTGAAAAACAGGCTCAGGGCTTAACAGGTTAAGGAATACAATCTAGTGAACCTGGCCGACAGAACATAAAAAGTTGAGACGTCATAAAATTGGTAGATAACAATGAGTTGACCATGTCATTATTAAGGTTAGATTTTCCTCCCTTTGTTTGAGCTTCTGAAGGGAAATGGGGTTGATGCATCGTGTGTGTGTGTGTGTGTGTGTGTGTGTGTGTGTGTGTGTGTGTGTGTGTGTGTGTGTGTGTGTGTGTGTGTGTGTGTGTGTGTGTGTGTGTGTGTGTGTGTGTGTGTGTGTGTGTGTGTGTGTGTGTGTGTGTGTGTGTGTGTGTGTGTGTGTGTGTGTGTGTGTGTGTGGTGTGTGTGTGTGTGTGTGTGTGTGTGTGTGTGTGTGTGTGGTGTGTGTGTGTGTGTGTGTGTGTGTGTGTGTGTGTGTGTGTGTGTGTGTGTGTGTGTGTGTGTGTGTGTGTGTGTGTGTGTGTGTGTGTGTGTGTGTGTGTGTGTGTGTGTGTGTGTGTGTGGGGGGTGTGTGGGGGTGTGTGGGGGTGTGTGTGTGGGGGTGTTTGTGTGTGTGTGTGGGGGTGTGTGTGTGTGGGGGTGTTTGTAGGTTTGTGTTTTCCATCCAGGTGTTTGCAGCCACGCCACCGTTGGCTTTGAACACGGACGTTGCTCATTGTTTGTTTTGGTCCTTTGAGCCCCGGGCTTCTTTCCCTCTGTGAGGATAATGGAGATTATACCAAGTCATCTTATTTTCTATCATACCTGAGGAGTGATGTGTGTGTTTTCAGGCCAAAGGGAAGGAGCGTCAGTGGCTGAAGAACCAGGCTCTGGGAGAACTGGACGACGCTAAAATCATCGATGGACTGACCGGAGAGAAAGCTATCTACAAACGCAGAGGAGAGCTGGACCCAGAGGTGTGTGTGTGTGTTAATACAGATGGTGTTCTTTGTGTTTGTTATTTCTGTCTATCATCTTTTTTTTATTTTTCAATATTCACAGATATTATAAGCATTATAAATACATAAAAAATATCTGATGCAAAAAACATACAAAGGCAGAAGCTAAAATAAATACATATTTAACAGTATTTTATGAATTCCTGGTAACAGTTTTAGGCAGTAAATGATCATTCTTGAAGTGTGAATATTGTTTTAATAGAAATATAATAATTATGTGTGTGTGTGTGCAGCTGGGCAGTCCCCAGCAGAAGCCCAAGCGTCTGCGGGTGTTAGCGGATGTTTCCGGCAGCATGTACCGCTTCAACGGAGTGGACAGACGGCTGGAGCGCTCCATGGAGGCCGTGTGCATGGTGATGGAGGGGCTGGAGAACTACGAGCACAAGTTCAAGGTGAGGCCATCACTACTAACACCATGACAGAAACAACGTGTGTGTGTGTGTGTGTGTGTGTGTGTGTGTGTGTGTGTGTGTGTGTGTGTGTGTGTGTGTGTGTGTGTGTGTGTGTGTGTGTGTGTGTGTGTGTGTGTGTGTGTGTGTGTGTGTGTGTGTGTGTGTGTGTGTGTGTGTGTGTGTGTGTGTGTGTGTGTGTGTGTGTGTGTGTGTGTGTGTGTGTGTGTGTGTGTGTGTGTGTCTGTGTGTGTGTGTGTGTGTGTGTGTGTGTGTGTGTGTGTGTGTGTGTGTGTGTGTGTGTGTGTGTGTGTGTGTGTGTGTGTGGTGTGTGTGTGTGTGTGTGTGTGTGTGTGTGTGTGTGTGTGTGTGTGTGTGTGGTGTGTGTGTGTGTGTGTGTGTGTGTGTGTGTGTGTGTGTGTTGCTGTGTGTGTGTGTGTGTGTGTGTGTGTGTGTGTGTGTGTGTGTGTGTGTGTGTGTGTGTGTTGTACTTGTCAATTTATAGTTTTATTACAGCCGTTACTGTTACTTATTATTTTTTATATTTCACATATATCAATATTTAAGGGATTTCTGGTCCATGAAATGTCAAAAAATCTATCTGTGAAAATACAATTAGTCCAAAAAGATTTGAACTTTATTCTTGAAAATCACACTTCTTACCATCATTTTCTGTTGTGTTTTGGTCCCTGATGCATAGAAAAACCATATACAAAAATATATATGTATATATCATCCGAAAGGCTAAATCTGACATTTTAAAACAACTCTTCTTATCCCGCAACAGCGATATGAATCGATAGATTGCATGAAGAAAGATTATTTTCAGAAAAACTTCCCTAAAACTTAAATTTGAGTAATTATGTATATAAGTAAATTATTTTTCTGTTGTGTTTTGGTCCCTGAAGCATATCAAAAACCTTACATACACAAATATATACCTATATATCGTCCAAAAGGCTGAATCTGACATTTTGAAACAACACGTTCTTACCCGGCAACAGAGATATGATTGGATGAGACACACAGACGCACACCACAGTAAATCTTTCCTTATTAGAAATAGCCCTGAAGGTCTGCAGGAGGCATGTCTGCTCTCAACACATTCACCCTGCTGCAGTGTGTGTGTAGTGTGTGCAGAGTGTGTGTGTAGTGTGTGTAGCGTGTGTGTGTAGCGTGTGTAGCGTGTGTAGTGTGTGTAGTGTGTGCAGTGTGTGTGTAGTGTGTGCAGAGTGTGTGTGTAGTGTGTGTAGCGTGTGTGTGTAGCGTGTGTAGCGTGTGTAGCGTGTGTAGTGTGTGCAGTGTGTGCAGTGTGTGTGTGTGTGCGTAGTGTGTTACGACGTGACGTTTCTGCACACCTTCAGCTTTACACTTCTCTACACATGCTATTCCTGGTGTCGATATAAGAGGGGGTTACACAAAGTTGTGCAACAATTAAATGTTGTTGTTGTTGCCACTTATGTTCATGTGTTACGATACATGTAACCTTTGTACTGTCTTTATTGATGTGTCTCTTACTTAAAGTGTTTTTCACTCTACGCATGTCCTCTAAAATGTACAGTACTAAAAAAAATGCACTATTTTCCACCACTGATGTTAACTTAGTGCTGTGTTTGCAGATGTGTCTCTTACTTTAAGTGTTTTTCACGCTACACAGGTCCTTTAAAGTGTTCTTAAGTACAGTACTTGAGAAAATGCATGTTGATTTCCACCACTGATGTTAACTTAGTGCTGTGTTTGTTGATGTGTCTCTTACTTAAAGTACTTTTTACTCTACGCAGGTCCTCTAAAGTGTACTTCTTAAGTACAGTACTTGTGAAAATGCACGTTGATTTCCACCAGTGATATTAACTTTGTGTTGGCAGATTTTTCTCTTAATTCAAGTGTTTTCTTTTCCACGCAGTACGATATCGTGGGGCACTCAGGCGACGGGTACGACATCGAGCTGGTCAGAGCGGATAAAGTCCCCAAAAACAACAAAGAGAGACTCAAAGTCCTCAAGGTACAGATTCATATCAGTCTGCTTTGTGACTGTACACCAGAGGCCTGTACTACGAAGCTGGATTTTCTCTTAGCCGGCTAACTTCAGGGAAATCTCGGGCTTTCCGGTCCTACGACGCTGGTTCTCTTTTTAGCGGGCTAGATCTCCATGGTAACTTATGCTGAGCGGCAAACCTGCTCCGGAGCAGGTTAGGTGGCAGGCTAAGAAATCAACTCAGTGAAAGCACCGCCTGCTGACCAATCAGAGCTCCGTGTGCGGAGTTTAAAGCGATCAATTCATATTACAGGATAGAGGAAATACAGAAAAACTGCCGTTGCAGGAAAGACGGCCGGCAAAAATCAACTGACTGTGTGAACGTGAAAATGAATAGAATATCCCCTCCCATCTTCAGAGCAATCTGACTATTATAACATTAGCGTTAAGAAAGCTTACTTAAATATCTGCCACGACATAAGTAACCGGATCAGAGTAACATTAAGTACAGTCCGCGGCACTGTGAGTGCAGACGTAGATGTGTCCCATTATCATTCATATCATATCACATCATAATGTATCATATATTTCCTTATCTGAGTCAGCTGAGCCGTATCTGGCCGTGCAACACTCACAGTGTCACATACTGTATGCAGAAGTATTATTTTAAGCAACACATTAAGTTGACGAAACACTCGAGTCAAATGTAATTAAAGTCAGATCGTGTCTTAGACGGGGCAGTGATTTCATAAACCTGTTAATGTACGCATTCAAACACTTTTTCTTTTACCAGCTGTATTCACCTTGCAGGTGCAGCTATGTGGCTTTTATCCTGGATAAAGTGTTTAAGTCATGGATGTTTAAAGTTTAACTTCTTCATATATGACTAATATTAAAGTTCACTTTTCATTCAGGAAGTATGACGCTGCGCTGTCAGTACGCTTGTCCGTGTTTGAGATTGGTCGAATGCTCCAAATACCACCCCTTTCATGTGAACGCGCACCTAACTAGATAGGACACGGCTGGCTTGAGCGATCCACTTGATAACCAGCGTCGTAGTACAGCTTAGCCAGAGCGCGTATGTTTTGGATTGGGCCAACCGGCTAACTCAAACATATCCAGGTTAGGTTGAACCAGCTTCGTAGTACAGGCCTCTGTTGTTCTCTCACACACACCCTGAAGACAGGGTTTGGTATTGATGCATTTACGGTATTTCCTTTTTTCCCTAGTTAACTGGAACATTTCCACAGTTTGTTGTTGTTGTTGTTGTTGTTGTTGTTGTTGTTTCCTCTGCTATGTAGATCTTTCAAATCTTTTGAATTTTTTTGGTAACTTTATTGAACTGACCCTCAAATATACATTTTCAAATCAGCCCATGAGTATCTGTTTTCTGCTTTTTCCCTTATTAACCACAAGATAGCCTTAGAACATTGGGTTTTTTATGCATAAGTTTTAATTTTTCTCTGATTTATAGCCATTCTGATAGTTATATAAATTAAATTATATCTATATTTGTTGAATAACCCTCTAAGTACATTCCTCACAGTAGTTTGAAGCCTCTGGTACTCCATCTTATAGCCAAACGTCTCCACCTGTGATGCCTAAATGGTTTCTACATCCTTCTCTTTCTCTCTCTGCAGACGATGCACGCTCACTCTCAGTTCTGCATGAGTGGAGACTTCACTCTGGAGGGCACAGACTCCAGCATCAAGGAGTTAGTGAAGGAGGAGGCAGACGAGCACTTTGTGGTCGTGCTCAGCGACGCTAACCTGGAGCGATACGGCATCCGGCCCGAAAGATTCGCTCAAGTCCTGACCTCCGACCCCCAGGTCAACGCCTTCGCCATCTTCATCGGATCCCTCGGAGATCAGGCCGAAAGGTGAGGAGGGGGAAAGAGGAGATGAGGTTGTGGGTAAAGTAGAGGGTGAAAATTAGGAAGGCTAATGAGGAAGTGTGAAGAATTAGTGATAGGGTAAAAAGCCAAATAAGATAATGATTACAGCAATAGGAAGAGAGGAGAGAGGAGAGGGGGAAAGAGGTGAAGAAGAAAGGTGAGGAGGGGGAGACAGGGTTGGTGGACTTAGGTAGAGGGTGAAAATAAGTTAAAGGCAAGTTTACTGTAATAGCATGTGTCAAAAAACAAAGAAAAGCATTAATAGATAAAATAGCCAAGAGAATACAAATTAAAACATTTTTATAAAAGACAATAATGAACATAACAATGCAGTGTAAGATATGAATGGCTATTTAATTTAAATAAATAATAGGCAGCGGCAAAATTAAGGCTTCAAATAAGCACAGAAGGAAATGATCAGTGATCGGGTTAAAAAACAAAATACGGCGAATACGGATAATGATGACAGGAAGTGGAATAAAAACAAAAGGAAAGGGAGAATAAGTATTAAATGAAAAGAGGCCAAGAAGACTGGACTAATGCTGTTTCTCATTCCGAGTATATCTGTACTACATTTTCTGTTTCGAGTGCATCCAATTTCGTATATGGCTAAACTAGCTATAATGACCTGGATGCTGCGCTCATAACGGCCCAACATGTTTCACTTCTTCCACTAAATCATTGCCTTCTTGTCTGCGTAAAATAATTGTATCTTGAAAACACAAAACTATCTAAAATACAAGTCGTACATGTGTTTAATTTACTTTTTAATAAACGTACTGCCATACTGGTCTCGAAAAAAAATGGCACTGTTAATTTGATAAGGTTAATTGAGCAGTCTGATTTGATATCGAAAAAAAATCGACTCCTGAACAACAACAAAAAGCCCGCGTTTTATCCAGTTTGTACACAACGATGGAGAAACTTAACAAGCAGCAGTGGTCCACTGAAGAGACCAGCTCCCTACTGGGAATCTGGTCTCCCGAAGAGGTACAGAGGGTAGCAAAACGAGTAGCGCTTCAACACAATCGGCCATTGTTGTTGTTGTCGGTGTGAGCTGTGAGGGGTTTCTGCGCGGTTTGGCTTTATGAAGCAGGCACGCAAACGGTTACGTCATGACGCAAACGATGACGCAATGACGCAGCACCAGTCGGACTCTGGGCGGTGTGAAAAGAGCCGGAGCTAAACAGAAGAACCGGTTCTGAACCTGAAAAGCTCTAGCACGGAGCTTGAACCGGAGCTGCTGACTACGTGGGTAGAGTCACGAGATTCAAACACCTTCAGGAGGAAAGTGACCTGTTCAGAAACAACTCATGACTCTGTGTCGTCAGTGGAGTCAGATCAGGAGAGGAAGAGGAGTAAAAGAGAGGCCTCTGACCTTTAAAGATAGAAACAGGAGGAAATACTCAATCAGAACAGTAACGAAAGACAGTTAAATACTTATTTACATAAATGATTACCAAACCGTTTGAGACCCACTACTTAGACTAAAGTGAACTATCTAAACCCTCAGAGAGTCCTTTACCTCAGTGAGCTGCAGTTATCAGCCTCTCAGTCTGACAGGAGAGGACTCTCCCTCCACCTCTTTCATAACAGCGCCTAGCACGCTCGTGAACTGTTAGCGCCGGAGCCTCGCAACGGGGAAACTGTGGCGCGCATCATTTTACAACTAAAGACACAGCTATACAAAAAACGCAGCATGTGCACGTCTCATGTGCACGGCTCTGAGAATCTGCCTTGGTACAAAGTAGCAGTGAAAACATGGGACGGAGTTTCATTGATTTGGGCATTCTCTCAATAAGCAAGTGGAATGGATTTGATAATGAAGCACTGACACAGCGCTCTACAGAGAGCGGCGAGTGGATAGACCGATGCACGGACTTTCCGCATAGTAAAAGTGGGGGGGTCTAAACTAATCATTTTAAAAGTGGGGGGGACTTGTCCCACCCTCATATAATGGCTGTGTCGCCCATGCTATCTAGCACCGATCCACCCAACAAACAAGCTCTTGTCCGTTTTTTGTCTTTTGAAACGATTCTGTAGCCAGTCTCTGTTTCTAACCTCCCATCTTTTTGCTTTTTTTCCGTTTCCATTCAGACTCCAGAAGACCCTTCCAGCGGGCAGATCCTTCGTTGCCATGGACACCAAACAGATCCCCCAAATCCTGCAGCAGATCTTCACGTCTACGATGCTGTCCAGTGCCTGAGACTGACTTCTTATCTCACGCAATAAAAAGAAACTCAAAATCATATCTGCAAGCACGGAGAAACCTGTCAGACTTAAAACCACTTTCTGTATCAGATCATTTCATTTGATCTGAGCTGTATCAGAGCTGAAGACTCGCCTTTTAAGTACATTTTTTATTATCTTACAGATGGCCATCAGCAGAATCTAAGTGTTAGCGTGACAGAGTATAATGTTTAGCAGGGTAGCTACAGTGACATAATGACTGCCTGGAGCCTGGCTCAGACCCCATGTGGGGATCAAACGCTCGCCATAACCTGTTAACACCAACACCTGACCGACAATTGGACGTGACGAGCGGTAATAACTCGGCTCCTCTGGAATGCTGGGATTGTGAGTCGGGAATTTCCCACCTGACTGCACAGGCTCTTTAAAGGCAGCCGCTGTGTGTGTGTGTGTGTAGGTGTGTGTTCCCCCTCAACATCTATGTCAACATGCTCAAGCCCTTTTCCTTCCTGGCTGCCGGATAACAAAATGATGTATGCTGAATCGAAAGTTAGCATTACATCATAATCGCAGAAATGTATATAACGTCTATGACACCTACATGTTTTGTTCAGCAGGATACTCTCCATATATTAACACCACTAGATTAAAAAGCTAACGTTAGGCTATAAAGGAACTACAGCACGGTCACATGACTTCACGTCACCACCGCTAAGCTAAAGGTGGCTAATGTTGGGCTATAAAGGAACTACAGGACGGTCAAATGACTTCACGTCACCCCCGTGTTGAGTTGTGTGTGTTGAGAGATAAACTTCCCACAGACCTGTGTTTTATTGTATTTCTGCTCTCTGACTTCATGCTGTGCAGTCATTCATGTCAGTGGTTCCTCACAGCCTCGTGCATCCAATACTGTGTCAGATTCCCCTCCGGTTGAAATACTCCGTGTCTGATCAATGTGATCAATACAACAGCCTGCATTGATCCTCTCTGAGTTTTCACACTTTGACCCTCTGCTCTGTTTGTTGGAAGGAACTAAAGTAAAAACATGACTGTAGATATTATTCCTAAGTCATGTTTGCAGTTCTTCATGATTGAGAACGTACTGTATGCATTTAAAGTGATTATCTAGATTTTGAATTATTTTAGCCTTATTTAATTGTACATTTGTATAACTTATACATAATGCAATGTATACACTTTTAATAAATCATGTTAACATTGCTCCGTTGATTCTCCATGTGTGTGCTATTGCCTGATTGATACTCATAATAGAAATGGGTCATTGAAAGTGCATTACTTTATATATTTAGTTTAGGCAAGTTATTTTGATATATTTCATATTTGACGTTAGTAAATAGTCTATCTGTCTGCATGTGAGGCTCACAAAGTTGCGTCATCATTTGTTGTCATTAAGCCAACAGGAAATATGTTGCACTTAAGGGAATTGGGTCTCTAAAGTCCTTATAAAGTCCTTAAAAAGAACTTGATTTTGATGAGTAATAAGATGTGTGAACGCTAATTACTACTGTTAAAAAACTGTGGCTCAAAAATCTCTAGATTTGATCATTTTGAATTTTTCAAAGCTTATAATTGGGCATTTTAAGCTTTTATAAATGCCAAAATCATATCTCGAACTCGTATATAAAAATATAAGGATGGTGTGAGAACAAATTGTTGTGTCACCGACACACCCCCAGCTCGCCACGTCACGAGCGTGATGACGAATCATCATTTTTTAAGGAAATCGTTTTTATCTTTTATTATAATTACTGTGAAATGTATTATGTTTTTGTCATTATTACAACAAATACACACTTGCAACTGATAACACTGGCAATGATTTTATATTTATGAGACTATTAAAAAAAAGATCATGCTCCAAATAAGTGGGGGTCCAACGCCCACTACACCACTGTTAACGACCTAATCATGCTCCATAATCCAAGTTATTACAAGCAATGTGTATTTTTAAAGAGATAAAGACATTTTGAATAACAACCAGTGGCGAACCGTCAGGGCCTTCAAGGTATTCAGAGAATACCCTTGAACACTCAGATAAAACAAACAAAAAATCGATTTAATTATATAAATAAAATGAATAAGAGAAGAGAATTGTGTGAGAGAAAATAATCGTATCTGTGTTGTTGATCTGTAATATTACAATCCTTCAACCATGGTATTCTATATCCTTGATAGAATGCCCTGGCCGTTGCACTGAACGAGAGCGTAAGTTTGGATTGACAGTTTGATCAACCAATCATATATTGATTTGTAGCCAATGGGCGTGTTCTTTCAGAGTTTCCCTCGGTTCCAGGTTACTCTACAGCACATGTGTCAAACTCAAGGCCAAAAGCCAAATCAGGCCCGTGATGGATTTAATTTCGGTCCGCAGGATAATTTGTAATTACTTTTAGATCTGGCCCGCCGGTATATTGCACGCACACCTTCACTCAATCCTGAGGGTTTCCTCAGCTCAGAGCCTGAGCCCAAACATTGATGAACTTGCACCCAGGATGAGATGCCAAGTATCTGGCTTGAACTAGCATCACAGAGCAGCAAGCTGAGTTTCAATGGATTCCTTGTTTCCTTCTGCACTTTTTTTCTTGCGACAACAGGGCATGTTTAGTTTTTTCTTTGAGGGAAATTGTTTTTCTGAAGCTGTTGTTGGCCTGTGGAAAAATGTAATCATAAGAAATGACTCTGGAAAAGCTGCAGATAGAGCCATAAGAAATGAATGCAACTGATTATTTAATGTTTAATGTTGTTTTTATAGGCAATAATTTAAGCTTTGTTAGTTCCAGGTTTAATATGTGCAATAAGTTCATTTCAATAAGTTTTGCAATAAACATTGAACCTGTCTGGCCCTCGACTAGTACCCATTTTTTTATTTTGGCCCACTGTGTACTGTGAGTTTGACACCCCTGCTCTAGAAGGCCCGGTAGTTCACTGGCTCGAGACAGAGGGTGTTTCTCAATGCCGAGGACGCTTCCTTGGTAGCACATGTACCTCCGAGTCAGGTCCTTCAGAAGTGAGGCAAGAATCCTTCCTAGCCTCGGAAAACAAAGAATGGTGGAACAGGTGTGCAGGTGTGCGTCATATGCGAGGCCCCGCCTTAAATGGAGCGCGATTTCCGCCAAAGATTTGGAAATTGGTCCGTGCGCAAAGCATTGTGGGGATTTTAAGAACGCGGAGAATACACATGTGCAGCCTCGAGATTTCTCGCTACGAAGGACGCCGGGCTCGGTAGAATTACAAGGAGCCTGGACATTGGAACAGTCCTTCAAGTAACATGTAATGTCCTTCGGTGGCACTCGATGATGTAGCATCAGTAGTTATACATATGCTGTTTCAATCACATTAGTATGCATAAAAAGTGACAGGTGCTGTGACAGGTCACACCTACTACTACTTATGCTAATGAGCCCCTTTGATATGCTAATGAGCCCCTTTGTTCGAGGTGTTATCGCGTGTAGGTGTGATATCACAGATAGGTGGGATATCCTTTGATGTGAGGGGGTGAGGTGTTGTAACATGTAGGTGTGATATTCCCCCTTGAAGTAGATCCTTTGTTGTCTAATCTAATTAGCCTTTGATGTCTGCCCTTTGTTGTCTAATCTAATTAGTCTTTGATGTCTGCCCTTTGTTGTCTAATCTAATTACCCTTTGATGTCTGTGCTTTGATGTAAGGGGGGTGAGGTGTTGTAACATGTAGGTGTGATATCACACCGACATGTTATAAGCCTGTGATGTCAATCTAATTAGCCATTTGATGTCTGTCCTTTGATGTAAGGGGGTGAGGTGTTGTAACATGTAGGTGTGATATCACACCGGCGTGTTATAAGCCTTTGATGTCAATCTAATTAGCCCTATGATGTATGTCCTTTGATCAGTGTTTGTAACTAGTGTTAAGGTAGTCTCTTTGAAGTTGTGTGAGACTGTCTCGCACCCCGTCCTCCTCCCACCCCGTCCCCCTCTCACCTCTTCTGTCACCCCCCTTCCTTTTGCTGTGATGTCAGAAGATAGAGGTGGGGGTGGAGTTAGGTAAACAAAGAAATCCGTGCAAACTAGATAAAAAGCCAGTCATTTCCACTCACCAAGTCACCTAAACTTTCAAAAAAGATAAATGGCAAAGAGACGCATCGATATGGGTTTAATCAGTGAGACGCCTGTGACAACTTACCGCCATCCGTCGGGAGGGCCAGTCAAGAAACGGATGCAGTATCTGTGCCGTGTTCAAACCCCTCCGTCTGAGGCTCTTCATGAAAAATGGAGGCTGGAAAATGGAGATGTTTGGGGTTATGTGTTCAACTATATGGCGAATGAACTACATTTCTACAATCTGAAGAATGGAGAAACTTATGGACCCGCAGTGTTAAAGCGACGTTGACCTCAACAGATTGGGCTGTGTTAACTCTGGTGTCTTCCAGAGATCTCCGTGCAACCGTTGTATCAGAAAAAGCAGTGCATCAAGAAACCATCATGGATGCATTTTGGAGTCGTTCAGGCATCGTACGTGCAATGTCCATGAAACCTGCATCAAAAAGCAAAGAAACGCAAACTGTGGTCTGGATGTGTGAGACTGTCTCCCATCACCCCCCTCCCCTCCCCTCCCACCCCTCCCCTCCCCCAGCCTGTCACTTCCTGATTTTGCTATCAGCCATTAATTTTCACTCACTAAGTCACCTAAGACTTTTATTGTCCTCTCTAAATTAGATTAGTTTTAATATGATTTGTGTTGACTAAGGATGTTCTCTTTAGTTGTATGGCTTGCGAACTAATGTTTAATTACTTTATTAACTACAACAAAGTTTCTTTGAGAGGAAAATAATCATTTAAAGATCTTAATGACCCCATGGTATTGTCTTTTTTATTGTTTAATTACTTTATTAACTATAAGGAAGATTTACTGGTGTGCTTCCCTAGATGATGTAAATAGTCTAAGTGTCATGGTAGGGGGACATTACGGAACTCAGGAGTCCGCCCTTTTGAGGCGTTGTTAACATTAATGCTTTTTGCTTTTGTTTTTGTTACTAAGATAATTTTTAGATACACTTTTGAAGTGAGCAACACTTTACAACTGGTAGAAAGTTAAGTACTTTGTATGGAATTGGGTTTTCTTTAGAGCTGTTTTCAGTGAGACAATGCAGTTTTTTGATAATTTTAAGTTTCAATTTTCAAGGCTTTATGGCATATGCCCATTAGCTACAGTGTAGATATGTCAATGAAAAACATAGGTCACAGGCTCCTCCAACAGTGCAACAAATATATATAAACAGATAAAATACTGCAATAGAATGTTTTGATATGACAGATTTGTGCGTAATTCTCTCACAAAGGAACTGTAAGATACACGTTTATGTATGGAAAAATGTATAACTTGGTAAAATATTCATTCATTTGTAATGAATTGAGTTTCTTAAAGAATCAAACTCTAAATGGAGAGTTTGTGATTTTAACACTGTTTCGATGAAACAATGCAGTTTTTGATAACTTGACTTGACGAACATTACTTTTTTTAAATATATGTTTTTAGATGCTTTACTTTGATTTCTTTCATGTTATTTTAACACAACATTACTTTTTTCATATTTTTCAACATACTGTGATATTTTGTTTTTCTCTCCTTTTAAACTAACTAACAACTAATACATTCAATATTACGACTTTTTGCGATATTTTCA